TGATTTTGGGGTGATTTGGGTGATTTTGGGGTGATTTTGGGGTGATTTAGATGATTTTGGGTGATTTTGGGTGATTTTGGGTGATTTTGGGGTGATTCTGGGGTAATTTTGGGATGATTTCGGTGATTTGGATGGTTTTGGGGTGATTCTGGGATGATTTTGGTGGTTTTGGGGGTGATCAGGTGATTTTGGATGAATTGGGATGATTTTGGGGTAATTTTGGATGATTTGGGGTGACTTGAGGTGATTGATTTGGGTGATTTGGACGTTTTTGGGATGATTTTGGGGTGATTTTGGGGTGATTTTGGGGTGATTTTGGATGATTTTGGGGTCATTTTGGGGTGATTTAGGGGTGATTTAGGTGTTTTTGGGATGATTTTGGGGTGATTTTGGGTGATTTGGGTGGTTTTAGGGTGGTTTGGGATGATTTGGAGGTTTTGGGGTGATTTTGGGATGATTTGGGTGATTTTGGGGTGATTTTGGGTGATTTAGGTAGTTTTGGGGTGATTTTGGGATGATTTGGGTGATTTTGGATGATTTTGGGGTGATTTGAGATGATTTTGGGAGATTTTGGGATGATTTGGGTGATTTTGGGGTGATTCCGGGTGATTTTGGGTGATTTTGGGGTGATTTTGGATGATTTTGGATGATTTTGGGGTGATTCCGGGTGATTTTGGGGTGATTCCGGGTGATTCTGGGTGATTTTGGGGTGATTTTGGATGATTTTGGGGTGATTTTGGGGTGATTCCGGGTGATTTTGGGGTGATTTTGGGATGATTTGGGTGATTTTGGGGTGATTCCGGGTGATTTTGGGGTGATTTTGGGGTGATTTTGGATGATTTTTGGGTGATTTTGGGGTGATTTGGGTGATTTTGGGGCCGTACCTTGGTCCACGCCGTTGATGTAGAAGTGCAGGGCGTTGTTGGCCTTGCGGGTCAGGCCGATGTGATCCCCCTCCTGCGGGGACAGCCAAAATCCACGGAATTCACCCCAAAACCCACGGGATTCACCCCAAAACCCACAGGGAGCCCCAAAACCCACGGGATTCGCCCCAAAACCCCCGGGATTCACCCCAAAAACACCGGAATTCACCCCAAAACCCCCGGGATTCACCCCAAAACTGCCGGGATTCACCCCAAAACCCACAGGGAGCCCCAAAACCCACGGGATTCACCCCAAAACCGCCAGGATTCACCCCAAAACCCCCGGGATTCACCCCAAAACCCCCAGGGAGCCCCAAAACCGCCAGGATTCACCCCAAAACCCACAGGGAGCCCCAAAACCTCCAGGATTCACCCCAAAACCCACGGGATTCACCCCAAAACCCACGGAATTCACCCCAAAACCCCCGGGATTCACCCCAAAACCCCCAGGGAGCCCCAAAACCCACAGGGAGCCCCAAATCCGCCGGGATTCACCCCAAAACCCCCGGGATTCACCCCAAAAACGCTGGAATTCACCCCAAAACCCCTGGAAGAATTCGGGGGTCCCGTGGGTGAATTTTGGGTGGATTTTGGGTGCATTTTGGGTGAATTTTGGGTGGATTTTGGGTGGATTTTGGGTAAATTTTGGGTGGATTTGGGGTGAATTTTGGGTGGATTTTGGGTTAATTTTGGGTTAATTTTGGGTTAATTTTGGGTGGATTTTGGGTGGATTTGGGGTGAATTTGGGGTTAATTTGGGGTGGATTTTGAGTGGATTTTGGGAGGATTTTGGGTGAATTTTGGGTGGATTTTGGGTGAATTTTGGGGGATTTTGGGTGAATTTTGGGTGGATTTTGGGTGAATTTTGCGTGGATTTTGGGTGAATTTTAAGACTCAAAAATAAAAAAAAATCCGTGAAATCATCCCAATTTCTGATCCATAAATGGAATTTTTTGGGGGATTTTTTAGGGATTTTTGGGATTTTGGGGTGTCCCGAACTCCCCCCGATTTTGGGGCGCCCAGAGCTGATTTTGGGGGTCCCGAGGGTGAATTTTGGGGTGATTTGGGTGGATTTTGGGTGAATTTTGGGTGGATTTTGGGTGGATTTTGTGTGGATTTTGGGTGAATTTTGGGTGAATTTTGGGGGTCCCGAGGGTTAATTTTGGGTGAATTTTGGGTGAATTTGGGGAGATTTTAAGACTCAAAAGTAAAAAAAATTCCATGAAATCATCCCAATTTCTGATCCATAAATGGAATTTTTTGGGGGATTTTTTAGGGATTTTTGGGATTTTGGGGTGCCCCGAACTCCCCCCGATTTTGGGGTGCCCGGAGCCGATTTTGGGGGTCCCGAGGGTGAATTTTGGGGTGATTTGGGGTGATTTTGGGTGAATTTGGGTTAATTTGGGGTGGATTTTGGGTGAATTTTGGGTGAATTTTGGGTGGATTTTGGGTGAATTTTGGGTGGATTTTGGGTGAATTTTGGGTGAATTTTGGGTGGATTTGGGGTTAATTTGGGGTGGATTTTGAGTGGATTTTGCGTGGATTTTGGGTGGATTTTGGGTGAATTTTGGGTGAATTTTGGGTGAATTTTGGGTGAATTTTGGGTGAATTTGGGTGGATTTTGGGTGGATTTTGCATGGATTTTTTTGGGTGAATTTTGGGTGGATTTTGGGTGAATTTTGGGTGGATTTTGGGTGGATTTTGGGTGAAGTTTGGGGAGATTTTTGGACTCAAAAATAAAAAAAAATCCATGAAATCATCCCAATTTCTGATCCATAAATGGAATTTTTTGGGGGATTTTTTAGGGATTTTTGGGATTTTGGGGTGCCCCGAACTCCCCCCGATTTTGGGGTGCCCGGAGCCGATTTTGGGGGTCCCGAGGGTGAATTTTGGGGTGATTTGGGGGGATTTTGGGGCTCACCTGCAGCTCGTCCAGGCTGAACTCGCAGTACTCCCGGCGCGTCCCTTTGCCGTTGGTGAGGATCCCACAGCCGCTCATCATGATCGTCCCTGCCACAAACCAAAATTTGGGGCTTTTTCCAGGGATTTTGGGGCTTTTCCCAAAATTTTGGAGTTTCCCCAAAAACCCTGCTGGAATTTTTCAGGATTTTTGGGGTTCCTTGAGGCATTTTTTCCTGGATTTTAAGGGTTTTTTATGCTAAAATCGGGGATTTTTGGGGTTTGTTTTGCCAAAATTTTTAAGTTTAATTTTCCCAAAATTTCAAGATTTTTTTCCTAGGATTTCAGGGAATTTTTCCTGGAATTTTGGGAGATTTTTCCCAAGATTTTGGGTGATTTTTCCTGGAATTTTGGGAGATTTTTCCTGGGATTTCAGGGGAATTTTTCCTGGGATTTTTGGGGAATTTTTCCCGGAATTTTGGGAGATTTTTCCTGGAATTTTGGGAGATTTTTCCCAGGATTTTGGGAGATTTTTCCCGGAATTTTGGGAGATTTTTCCCAGGATTTTGGGAGATTTTTCCCGGAATTTTGGGAGATTTTTCCCAGGATTTTGGGAGATTTTTCCCGGAATTTTGGGTGATTTTTCCCAGAATTTTGGGAGATTTTTCCTGGGATTTTTGGAGATTTTTTCCCGGGATTTTTGGGATTTTTTTTTCCCAGGATTTCAGGGAATTTTTCCCAGGGTTTTGGGAGATTTTTCCTGGGATTTTTGGAGATTTTTCCCAGGATTTTGGGAGATTTTTCCCGGAATTTTGGGAGATTTTTCCCAGGATTTTGGGAGATTTTTCCCGGAATTTTGGGAGATTTTTCCCGGAATTTTGGGAGATTTTTCCCAGGATTTTGGGAGATTTTTCCCGGAATTTTGGGAGATTTTTCCTGGGAGATTTTTCCCAGGATTTTGGGAGATTTTTCCTGGGATTTTTGGAGATTTTTCCCAGAATTTTGGGAGATTTTTCCCGGAATTTTGGGAGATTTTTCCCGGAATTTTTGGAGTTTTTTCCCAGAATTTTGGGAGATTTTCCCCGGAATTTTGGGAGATTTTTCCTGGGATTTTTTGGATATTTTTCCCAGGATTTCAGGGAATTTTCCCCGCGGTTTTTGGCTGTTTTTCCCGATGTTTGTGGCTGTTTTTCCTGCAGTTTTTGGCTGTTTTTCCCGCTGTTTTTGGCTGTTTTCCCCGTGGTTTTGGGGTGTTTTTCCCGGTGTTTTGGGGTGTTTTTCCCATGGTTTTGGGGGTATTTTTCCCGTTGTTTTGGGGTGTTTTTCCCCAGGATTTCTGGGTGTTTTTCCCGGTGTTTTGGATTGTTTTCCCCGCGGTTTTTGGCTGTTTTCCCCGCGGTTTTTGGGTGTTTTCCCCGGTGTTTTTGGCTGTTTTTCCCGGTGTTTTGGGGTGTTTTCCCGGTGTTTTTGGCTGTTTTTCCCGTTGTTTGTGGCTGTTTTTCCCCGCGGTTTTTGGCTGTTTTCCCCAGTGTTTTGGGGTGTTTTCCCCGGTGTTTTTGGCTGTTTTCCCCGGTGTTTTGGGTGTTTTTCCCGTTGTTTTTGGCTGTTTTCCCCGCAGTTTTTGGCTGTTTTTCCCGCGGTTTTTGGGCTGTTTTTCCCGCCGTTTTTGGCTGTTTTCCCCGGTGTTTTGGGGTGTTTTTCCCGTTGTTTTTGGGTGTTTTCCCTGCGGTTTTTGGCTGTTTTTCCCCGGTGTTTTTGGCTGTTTTCCCCGCCGTTTTTGGCTGTTTTCCCGGTGTTTTGGGGTGTTTTCCCCATTGTTTTGGGGTGTTTTCCCGGTGTTTTGGGGTGTTTTCCCGGTGTTTTGGGGTGTTTTCCCGGTGTTTTGGGGCTCACCTGAGCGCAGGTTGGTCATGGTGGCCGGGTACTCCAGGCTGTTGGGGTTGTGGGCGGTGACCCCGATCTCGATGGACCCCGACCATTTGTCCACCAGTTTGTCAATGCGGATCTGGGGGGGTCAGGAGGGGGGTCAGGACACCCCAAAAAACCCCAAAAAACACCCCAAAAAAATCCACAAAAACACAAATAAAACATCCCACCAAAAATCCCACAAAAAAACAAAAAAAATTCCCCAAAAAACCCAACAAAACCCCCGAAAAAAACCCTAAAAAAACCCCAAAATAACAAAAAAAATCTCTCAAAGAATCCCCAAGAAAATCCCAAAAAACTCCAAACAAAACCCCACAAAAAACCCACGAAAAACAAAATAAAAATAACTCAAACCCCAAAATAACAAAAAGAAGCTCCCAGAAAACCCCACAAAAAAAACAAATAAAAAAAATCCAAAAGAAACCCCAAAACAACCAAAAAACCCCTCAAAAAAGGGCCTCAAGAAACCAAAAAAACCCCACAAAAAACCAGATAAGAAAAAACTCAAAAAAACCCAAAAAACACCCTAAAAAAACCCAAAAAAACCCTAAAAAAAACCCAAAAATAGCCTAAAAAACCCTAAAAATTCCCCCCAAAAATCCAAAAAATTCCGTAAAACCCAGAAAAAGCCCCCAAATAATCCCAAAAATTTCCCCAAAATTCCCAAAATTCTCAAATTCCTACCTGGAATATCTCCCCAATCCTCAGGGCTCTGGTGCTCAGCACCACGCCGTTGTTGAACTCGTCCAGTGACCACCATGGCCCAAAATCCCACCCAAAAAATCCCAGAAAAATAAAAAAAAAATCCAAAAAATCCCAGAAAAAATCCAGAAAAATTGCCAAAAAATTCCAAAAAATTCCAAAAAATTCCAAAAAATTCCCCAAAATCCCAGAATTCCCACCTCAAACATCTCCCCAATCCCTCAGGGCTCTGGTGCTCAGCACCACGCCGTTGTTGAACTCGTCCAGTGACCGCCACATCCCAAAATCCCACCCAAAGAATCCCAGAAAAACCAAAAAAAATCCAAAAAATCCCAGAAAATTCCAGAAAAATCCCCAAAAAAATTCAAAAAAAATCCCCAAAAATTCCCCAAAATCCCAGAATTCCCACCTCGAACATCTCCCCAATCCCTCAGGGCTCTGGTGCTCAGCACCACGCCGTTGTTGAACTCGTCCAGTGACCGCCACATCCCAAAATCCCACCCAAAGAATCCCAGAAAAACCAAAAAAAATCCAAAAAATCCCAGAAAATTCCAGAAAAATCCCCAAAAAAATTCAAAAAAAATCCCCAAAAATTCCCCAAAATCCCAGAATTCCCACCTCGAACATCTCCCCAATCCCTCAGGGCTCTGGTGCTCAGCACCACGCCGTTGTTGAACTCGTCCAGTGACCGCCACATCCCAAAATCCCCCCCAAAAAATCCCAGAAAAATAAAAAAAAATCCAAAAAATCCCAGAAAAAATCCAGAAAAATTCCCAAAAAAATCCCCAAAATCCCCCAAAACCCCAGAACTCCCACCTCGAACATCTCCCCGTCCCTGAGGGGCCGGTTGGTCAGCACCACGCCGTTGTTGAACTCGTCCAGCGGCCGCCGCCTCTCGGCCGTTTTGTGGCCGTTGCTGAGTTTGATGAGGGCCCCGCACTTCTCGTGGAACAGCAGCGCCTCGTTGGTCAGGGACGGGGCTGGAATGGGGCAAAACCAGCAGGAATTGGGAAAAACCCACGGGAATCCAGCGGGGAGGGGGAAAACGGGGAG